CATTTTATAAACAAAAAATGACTTGAGTGAGGGGATGAGTATTATTGCGCATGCCCCATCTATTTCATTGAGAGGTAGGGGGGGGGGGGAAGTAATGAAATCGTGGTGGTTTTGAACTCGGAGCCCACATGTCGGCCTACAAAGTTCAAACTCTTTGCCGGTCAAATATTACTGACGTGGAAATTATCGATTTTATGCAAGACAGTTAAAACTATTGTAAAAAACAAAAAGCAATCTTAATCTTTATATTCACTGAAGTCTATGACATGCTAGAGATATTTTACCTTTAACAAAGATTGACGTTACTATTAGAAAACAGCTCACGAAGTAGTTGCTCCGTATCACAAACTTCATCCTTTTAGTTAACTTCTAATTCATATTGTCCCAAATCAACTATATTTTTAATGCAATTTGAAATTCACAAATCCAACTGAACAGAAAATTTTAATGAACAAACATTCGTCAAGTTATTTTAAAAAACTCAACATTTTAGGCTTAGTTGTTTGTTTGTTTGTTTGTATTTTTGTTGTTTTACACTAGTTTGATTCCCTTTTTTTTTTCTAAGTTCGCAGAAATAAACTAAATTCGAACAAAAGCCTCTTACTCTAAGTAAGCTGCTACCTTCCTCGCTTTATGATTCATTGGAACATTAATTGCAACTAAACATAGGCACAAGTATTCAAGAGCTGAATGAAGAGTTGTCAACAAGGTTTTAGCATTGAAATTAAACTCCACCCAGTTTCAGCCACGTTTCTACAGTGAATGTGTTTCTCTGCGTGTGTATGTGTGTAGACGTCATACCCATTAAGTGCAGGTGTGTTTTAGCGCGCTCTATCTGTATATATGTTACTGACAATACATTGGTAAAGCAAGGCGTGCTGTGATATTACTATTTTCTCAAAAGCCGTCTCATTTTAACCGGCCCCACCAACAAGGGGAGAAGTCGCGATTTCTAAATGTTTTATCTGTCCGTCTGTCACGTTTAGATGGCAAATACTAAAAATAAAGCCATTTAGAAAACTATTTCATCATATTTTTAAATTTACTAATTAACTAAGATAATTTTTTAACGCGAACTCTTTTATTTTCAAAGTTAATTATGAGAACCGATTTTGTGTGTGTGTGTTTTTTTTAATAATAAAATTGTCATAACAATAGTTAAATGCTTTATTTTACGTCAATTCATTGTGTTAATATTAGATCTGTGTGTGGCACAAACTTGATTAGGACTTTATATTTCTTGTATGAAAGTCTTGTCTCATGAAATGCAAGTAACCACACTTACTCTGTTTAAATTACTTGACTGACTTCAATACATCTCAAAAAGTCCATAATGGAAACTCCCATTTCACACGTTTCTAAGTGTTTTATTTACATTTAAAGTTGGCAAGTGCTACAATTTTTTTTTTATTAGTTCGTCTAGCATGCGATGAACTTTGAACCTGCACTTCAGTGAAGGTCAATCAAATAAATAGGCCAATAAGTGATAATTATGTGGTGTTTTTTTTTCGTTCCTTTTAAAATCATCAGAATTTGTTTTAAAGTTCAAACTACTTCAAAGAATTATATATTTTCTGCATGGTCGTGTGGTATGGGATTCGAACTGAATGTTCGGGTATTTGGTCTAGGTCTCTAGGATGTCCTGGGCAAAACAAGCGGCCTCAACGTGGCACTCCGGTGAGAACGTTACAGGAAACCCAAAATAGGGGGTAAAACAGAACCCTTGTTGGGGACTTTTGGGTGCCAAAGGAACTGAGTTCACTGCACTGGCGGGGATGGAAGAGAGCCCCCAACAGTCCTGTCACAATTCACATCAAGTTCCTTAAGTGGCCGTCTTATGAAGGTAAAGAGAACGAAAATGTCGGAGTGAATTTGTCTGTGTATGTGTAGTCATGTAAATAAAAACAAGCAAAATAAAAAAAATGCGTTTAATAAAAGGGGGGAAAGAACCGCATAATTACTGTCTTGCATCGCAATATTGCAATATTTATAGCTCCTTTTCAATATAGAATTTACACAAATAAAGTTTCATATCATAGCAGACATTGATTTCTTGTTCTTCATTCTCATTATAACGTTGGAGTGGGTTGGGGGGGGGGGGGGGGGTTTAAACGTTTGGAGTCTTAGGCTAATACCTGATATGAGCTGCGCATTGGTGTCCAGATCAGGCAGCTTCTCTATATAGATTTGCTTCTATACGAAATGTTTTAAGGCCAGTTACTTGCTCGAGCCTCTCGATAGAGTATGCAGCTTTGGAGGACCTCTTTGACACTCTCTGGTGATACTCCAAATGGAAACATTTCACTAGCCCAGGCATTGAATTAGTTTGGAGTTTACATGCCGACCTATTGATCTAACCTTTTCATTGGAATACATTTGGGACGCTCTCAACACTAGAATGATTAATGAGCGTAGTTTAAACCGAAATAACATACTCAAACCAGACTATAACAATAACAAAAACATTTATTTTCATCAAACAAGGAAAAACATTTGCAACGACCGTGTCATCTCTAGTCAAACAGTTGAATAAGTCCATTTCAAAACAAGGTTACAAAGACAGTTTGTGTGAAAACACAAACTCAAAATCGGCCCCCGAAGTGGTCCACCAAGGCAGGCTTCAAAATTTTCAGAAAGAATATCCGAATGAAATTATATCAAAGACAAATGACAGATAAGAATGGAGAAAGAAGTTGACAGCGGATCAAATGATAGGTGAAAGTGAATGTAAAGTTAGATGTGAACAAGGCCCAACTGATGTCTTATAATTGATCTAATTGTTTTGTAAAGGCTCAATCTCTTATCCGGATCTATGGACAGACGGACGTACAGACTGACAGACAGACCACACAGAACTAATAGCGTCTTTTCACCTTTCGAGGGCCGCTAAAAAGAGAAATACACTTCTGTGTAAAAAAAAAAAATTAAACCTGTAATTATTTGCGTTGAGGTCTACTCTGAGTTTCTGTCTCTCTGGATTCTTTTACACATTTGTTTCCCACTTCCCATTCTCGGATGAAGATGAAATGTTGCTCAATTGTTCATGGTCGAATGCAAAACATGAATCAACGCACACACAAAAATCAACAAATTATTTCATCAATTTGTGGTCATTAATTCATTTTGTTTTTTTTTGTAGAAAAAGAAGACATAAACATCACAGTATTTGCCTCTATGGCGGTCCTACCCCTTATGTACGCTTTGTTTTTGTTTTTTAAGTTTTTTTTTATTTTGCTTTCTGTAAAGATTTATTCTAGAATAGAACAGGACGAACCCTTTTTTTTTTTTTTTTTACAAATGAACTTTATTCTAGTGTTAATGGACGGACAATCAGGAAAAAGTCCACTTCACAAGCTACGAGTATGTGTTGGGGACGTGCTAACTCTTTCTCTCCTTCTCCGAACTGACGATACCAACGTTGATTCCACTAGAGTGTGGTAAATAATTACGGATGGAAAGACTTAAGACCTTGGCTTTGATGAGGCCAACAGGTTGTTTTTTTTTGTTTTACCTCACCTTATGGTAGGGCATGAGGAAAATGGGATTTATGTTCGAATGTTCAAAAAAAAATTTTTTTTTGGGAACATCCTGGACTATTCAAACAACAATTTATTGTGACTAATCAGGGAATAAATCCACATTTTTAAGGCAGCTGGTAATCCTGGTAGAAAACAAGCTAAGTTCCCCTTCCAGACCATGCGATCTATAGGCAGATGATTTTAAGGGCATCTGTTTCTATGGTCAATGATGTCAAGGGGTTAATGAGCAGGGTGCCATGTGGCCAGCACAACCGCCAACCGCCTTTAAGTTTCCCAACTAAAGTCAAGTACCCATTAGAGTTGGTTGGACTCGCCCTAAAAATCTGGAAATTCAAAATCCCAGTATTCACGGAGATTCGAACTAATGACCCCAGGTTCGGAATCTTAGCGCTAAACCACTAACCACCGCAATATAAAAATACTCTGAAAAAAAAAAAGACCATCTAAGTGGAGGAATTCGACATTTACGTCTATATCTCTGAATGATGTAGAATTTATTTCCTATTTTCGATATCAAAAACAAAATAATTAATTACGAATAATTATTTGATTAATTTGTTAATTTCTTTTTATTGTTAGTTACAATAAATAATTGTTTAAATTTTCAACTTGAAATAACGTGTTGAAAATTTTTACCAGACAGAGTCAGTTGATATAAGCTTTGTAATGTAAAAAAGAAGCTAAAAACAAATATATTCAGGCAACCCAAATCTACTCTTTAATGCAAGTAGTTAAAAAGGAGCACCTGTATGAATTTTTTCTAGCGTATGGAATAAGAAATGTGTCTCTTTCTTTGTGTCTTTCTGAGTATTTCACTAGGTTTTCTTTTTCTATTTGTATATTATGGTTTAGTGTTTTATGTATTATAGCTACTTTACTTTTTATTCTTCTGTCCTAAGGTTTAGTGATTTTAATAACAGTATTATTTTAATCAGGTTTGAATATTTATTAGTTATAAATCGCACTGCTCTATTTTGTATTTGTTCTAGTTTCTTTATGTTTTCTAGAGTTTTGTACTAGAAAGACACACATAGGATAAAATCTAATATGATAGTTGTTGTAATCACAGTAGAAGAAAGACATCAGATGCGTGTAAAACATAATACTTTAGAAGAGAACAATTTACATGTAGTCACAAAGGTGGAAGTATTATTTAAGTTCTATAAAGACTATTGAAAGTGTTCTCTCTGCGAATGTCACGTCACGAAAATTGTGTGTGTGTGTGTCCTATCGTTGAAATTTATTTTTTCTCTCATAATGTTTGTTATGTGTGAATTACAGTTGTCCTGTGGTATTGGACGTCTCAAGAGATGATCTTTTCCCTTTGCAACTTCTTGTGTAAATAGAGACCAATCACAGGTCAGGCCTCTGTAATCACCAGGCGCCTTTGCACTTTCACCCTTCTTTCTACTGCTGTTGTGTATGGCATCTGCAATCCGGGACACTCCCTTTATGCCCGCTCTCCTGTAGATCTATCAACTGCCACTTTTTCTTTTTTGTAGTACAGTAGTTTATTTTTAAACAGTTGTAGAACACATTTACTTACGGATAATAAAGATTATTATTATTTTTATTATTATTATAAAAAGGATATAAAAATTCCAAACAAGAAAGCAAGCCGATTAACAAGTTTGATATAATTCAACACTATGTATAAAATTACGTCCAATTTCATAGTACAACATCATATGGAAACATAAACACAATATTCCGAACACAACATCATATCGAACGTTCAAGAATATCTAAACACACATATTGTAAACAGATCATTATATCAGAACATGGACAATATATTCAGAACAGAAAATCGTGCCCAGACTTTCACTCAATCTTCAGAATACATAGGCTTCCGACTTAAGTAAAAAGAACATAGCTAAAGGTCAATTCGATGAATGTAGTATTGTATAGATGCATAAATGAGTTAAAAGTAATCCTTTTGTTCCTGACTTATACTAAATAAAAATGTTAAGAAAACAAAAACGATTCAAATCTATTTCGCATCAACGATCACTTGAACTTTGCTTGAACGTTTCAGTCTGACGTTTTGATAAATCAGTGATCTTCGGATGTTCTCTTTCGCTCTGCGCAACACTCTGACAATGACGTAGCCATCTTTGTTCACATCCTCCTTCCCATCATTCTCCGGCGTTTCCGTGACGCACAGATTTGGAGGTTGCCAGTTCAGATAGTCTGCCTTGAGTATTTCCGGTTCCTCGGATGTACCTGGGACTGAGAGGGTCTCCATGCAATCTCCTGGGGGAGTGACTAAAGTCTGGGGGACAAACTCAATGTACTGATCCTGGCGAGGTGGTTTGCTGCTGAGAGACTCGGGGATAGTGTGGTACACGCTGTTTTCGACGTTAACGACCTCTTCGATGATAATTTCTGGCACCGTGATTGAGTTCAGCTTCCACAGTCCGACATATTCATTTCTAGGGCGTTCTTCTTCCTTTTTTACGTTCAAATCTTTTTTAAAAAAAAGAGGAAAAAAAATTACTTCAACTATAATGCTGCAATGTGAAATGACAGTCAAAGATCTTAATACGCGTGACATGTTCTGTGTTAGTTGAGGTCTCCAGAGAAGTGTAAACAGGAAGTTTATGTATGTATACATTAGAAGCCTAGACATTTCCTGTTTTTACTTATAAGATTGAATATATAGGGAGGATAATTGATTTCTGGTACCTGAAGCCAGAGGCGTAGTGATTAAAACGTGCGCCCGGGGCGAGGTACTTTATTGGCGCCCCTCCCCATTTCCATGAACATCACATAGAAATATAGGCTGTGTGTGGCACCCGTCCCCCCCCCCTCCCTTTTCACTACCACTTTGCCTGAAGATTGTGTAAGTTTCGATTTCTAGATTGATCTTGGAAACCTATATAAGAGGACAATGTTTTACTGGGAGCTGTAGTTTCAAATTTAGATGCTTCATGTTAAATTCTGTTGTGAATCTTTTATTGAAATTAAATTATAGTCCGTGTTAATATTGTGTGTTTAATCTTTTCTTGAGTATTATTATGTTTTATTTCTTAAAGAATATTTCTGCTACTTCTTGACCTATAAAAATATCTCCACTACATTGGGTCATTGAATTGATCTTCTATAGCTACTCAAACATAGTAGACATACAGTTCCATCATTAAACTAGCAACATATAAAAAAAATCCTTTTAAAAAAAAGGTCTCAAGGGGAAGAACTCCATCCTTAAAATTGTATCTATCAAAAAGTGCTACACCCTGGCAGAGCCTGAGACTTGGCCGATCAGTGGCGTAGCAAGGTACCTGTGGGCCCGGGTTCAAGAATATGTTGATGGGCCCCCCCCCCTCCCCTCCTTTCCCATATGTCAAATTTTAAAAGGGCCTATGTAGGGTAGATCACAATTGGTCATTAGTCACGCGCCATGCGGTGCCGTATTTAGACTCAAAAGGCCCTAAGCTATTTGAGATAAGGGAACCCCATATTATTTCAGATATTATATGGAGCTACTAGGCCTAAATATTTCTTGAGGGCCCTAACCCTATAGCTTATGATGCGTAGAGATAAATCTAACCCAGGCCCCATGTTTGTAACGCCAAAGGGTGTGGCCCCAAAATGGTCGTAGGCCCGGGTTCATTGAACCCCTGTGCGCCATGGATGCTACGCCACTGCCCAAAGTGCATTGTCACTGCCATTTCTTTGGGCATAGCTAATTGGAGTTGGATGGAGGAGACTGCTTTAGGAGCGACAGGTTCCGACCATAACTTATGAGATGATTCATATTCGCTTCCCGGCTGGAGGAAGCCATAGAATGAAAGTGTTCTAAAAAAAGAACATGTTTTTTATATTCATAAGATATTTTACCTTTTTTTTCTGGTGATCAACTTTACTCTAATGGCACTTGGAAAGCAACACTTGTATGTATATTCTCTTGTAAGAGGTACAGTAAATTAAAAATAAACTTACCTTTTCGTCTTGCTTGAATGTGACTTCTGATGGTGACCACTGCTACGAGCACTCCGAGCGCTACAATGGTAAAACAGGCACCGGAAATAAGTTGTACTATCAGCATCTCACTGACCTCTTCACCCTTGCCTGAAATTTTTTAAAAGTTATTGGTATAGACATATATATATATATATATATATATATATATATAGACTGGACGATAAAGTAAAAATTATTATGGGAAACATTTGGGAAAAGATAAGTTTGTATGAGCTATACAGCAGTTATGAGCAGTGTACAATTAAAAGTATTTATAGTTGTTTTTTTCCGCCATAACCTATATAATTGATAGAACCCCTTCTGTATTATCATATCTCTAATCGTGCCTACCATATAGATTAGATTCTAGTCTAGTCTAGATTTCTAGATCTGATTTACCCCTAGAATTTTAGTTTTATATATGCCATGTTTTTTTTTAGTATTAAATTTACATAATTAAAATAATTAAAATTAGTTTTAAATACTAGATTAGATTTAGATCTATGCTATATAAATACTATAGTAAAAAAAATACTACTTACTACTAGTACTATACTACTATACTATACTATAAACTATAATTGTAATCTGTATAGTCTAGTCTATAGTTAGATCTAGTATATAAATAGTCTAGGACTAGATTGTCACTAGTGACTAGATCTATAATCAATAATAATCTATAACTTATACTAGATCTATATAGTCTGCTCTGCATGCATAGAAGATAGACTGACTAGTTTAATAGTTAGTAGTGAAAAGTATTAGATCTAGTTATTATTATATTAGTCATATTTATTAGATTTAGATCAATCAATATTAAATTTAAAATTAGTGACAGTCACACTAGTGCACTAGTCACAGTGATACTGAATTATTCTGACGTACTGAAACTGAAAGTTACTGTGTATAATATTCATTTTTTTTCAACCTTTAGAATTTATCCCTTGGCCTATCGTACTACGAACATTAGAGCACATTCTGCTCATTTTCTTTGACTTTTTTTGACTAAAAACTAATTCTAATTTGAATAATTTGAATCGATAAGACGACCGCCATACATTAATAAAGAAGCCATGTAAACAAACATAGATCCACATCACAAACCTATATATATTTGCCTATGTCTATGATTATGAAACAAAGGCAAAATATTGGGAATATGGCAGTTTTGTACTTTTCAAAACTAAAAATCGTAATTATATATTGGCTGAAATGTTAATTTATAGCTCAATTTCCGCCATTTTTTTTCATATAGATATAAAACATATCTGACTCCCCCCAAATAAAAATAACTTCCTACTTCCAGTCTATATTTATTTATGTCTATGGTTATTGGAAACAAAGGTATTCAATGATAGTTTTAATGATTTTAAAAAATGTCAATTTTTTAACGAAAGCTGTAAGAGATCCGAAACAAAGAAAATCCAAAATAATATTTCTAAATACAATATTCACTCTCTCCCTTTCTCCTTACTACACTACTACTGTCTCTCTCTTTCTCTCTTTCTCTCTCTCTCTCTCCCTCTCTCTCTCTCTCTCTCTCTCTCTCTCCCTCTCTCTCTCTTAAAACGTTATTTCCAGTTAATACAAAACTGAAGGGATTTTTCTAAGTGTCAATTGGTATTTTGTAAAATCTAATTTAAGCCCAGACTTTTTTTGAACATATGCTGCGCTTATTTTATTAAAAGTAATTCCATGTGGAATTTAAACAATTCTTTTAACGCCGTTGCAAGACGTTAATAACAGAAAGAAATATAGCTTTAGGAATTGTCCCCATTATAAGTTTTAGTATGTTAAAAGAAAATGGAGCATTACAGAGATTTTTATGAGTTTCGGAAAAACTATAAACAGCTAGCATTTCGTTGTATCCGGTGTACAAAATCAAGAAGGTGTTGATAATCTATGCATTTTCTCAAAAGTATATGATTTCCATTTAGCACTGCAGAAACCAATTCCGTTTGTAGCTTTTAGTTGGCAAAAAAAAAGCTCATCTTTGAGTCCTTGACACAGTTTAGTTGATCGTGAAAATTTCCAATATTATACAGATGCCTAGAAGGCTGTAATATTTAATATAAATTTTTTTTTTGTACTTGTTACTGTAGCTAATACTTAGGATAGATCTATCTCACTATCTCATTGTACGTTATTTAATATGGTTAAACTAGCCGACCCGAGGCATAGCATAGCCCAACCCCCTCTTTTTTTTTTAGCCTTGCTCTCTGTCACCGCGAAAGTTACGTGGGGTAGCTCTAGTCCGACTAGCAGAAATAAAAGAGTTATCTTTCCATGACTTTTTTCAACGAGGCGTTCCGCATGGTTGGGCGACGAAGAGAATTATATATAAAGATAGAGCCTGTGTCGTTTGTACAGTTCTACTCGTATTTAAAAGTTTATGAATCAGTGCTTTTGTGAAAATATTAAATAAGTTATTTAAGTTTCAATTCTAATGTTTCTAGATGTTTATCTTATCTCATAAAATACAGACATTACTTCAAAAAGAAGATGATTACATCCTACGCGACATGTTAACCAATGACTTAAATTCTGCCAATTGGATATTTAATTAATAATTTTTTTCTGTAGAGCTTACTTGTTAGAAATAGAGTAATTGTCTTTGAGAGATTATATTTTTGAGAGATATGGCGAGCCGAGCAGACACAACTCCTGTTATCAGTCTGTCGGCCGATGCTGATTCTCATACTAGCGATGTGGCTTCGGCTCTCAGATGTGGAGCGTTGGGTGGAGATGTCTTTGATTTCCTTATCGCATTTGATCCTGGTGTCCTGGACTAGAGGCGTACCTCCGTGGACAGAGCAAGAGATGACAGAGGTGGTGTTTTCACTTGCGTACAGAGCCCCATCATGTGAAACTCCGTTGGTGACGTAGAACTTGGGCTCTTCCACTGGTGGCTCTGTTGATGGACACAGAAGGTCAACGTTTAGCTCTAGGACTGGTCAAACCGTTGGTATTTGGACACGAAACTGATAACGCAATGATAAATGTTCGGACAC